GGTTTACCGACCATACTTCACCACGCTGGTCAATGCGAAAAATAAGAGGCATGCGTGGGATAACCCGATAGTAAGGTGGAGCGGTGGCGCAGTGGTCAACGCATCGTGCTATGACATGCGCAGATCCGAGTTCGAACTTCGAATCCCGGCCACGGCTGACATCAGTGGCGAGTGAAATTTGAACCGGCACCTGGCCATCCACCACCACTTCATTCACCAACCCGCACTGACCAGCGTGGTGAAGTATGGTCAAACGTCCACCCGTGGCGGGTGCGGCGTGGGAGGGAGGGGAGGGGTGGGGTGAGAGATCTTCATGCAAGTGGAAGGCCCAGGAACCAGTGCGGATATGACTCGCCAATGATGTTGGTCGTGGCCGGGAATCTAATTCAGGTGGCCGTGTTCATAGTGCAGTGCGCTGACCTCTGCGCCACCGCTCCGCCCCATGTAAACTATGAGTTCTGGTTAAAATCACAATCATGTATTTATCATCGTACGTAGATATTATATATGCATAAACTATTCTGATTTATCATGGTCACAATTGTTTATATTTTAATAGGTATATATATACAATTAATTATGGTCAAATGCAAACGTAGTCAAATGCAAACATATTTATAATATACGTATATAATATATGCGTACATTATATAATGTAACTAATATAACATCAATATCCTGTATACATACTTACACTTATACTTACAAAGGCGTGAATTATCTACATATCCAGGAGGATATACGGTACCGATATTTATAGCACAATCCACTAATATATACACATATATGCGTACATACACACGAAAATAAAAGTCCACGTGCGTAGTTGTGTTTATTCACTGCAAAGAGATGTAAAGACGTACTTTCAATTTGCCGTACATGTGTATTCAGGGTTGTGCTCTATAGTTGAGCGGTGGCGCAGCGATTAGCGCATTACACTATGCACCCAGGCCGTCTGAGATCAAGTCCCGACCACGGCGAATGATATCCGAACCGGTCCTGCCGTCCTAAAGACACACGTTCATCAACACGCTCCGGCCAGCGTGGTGAAGTATAGTCAAACAGCCTACGCGACGTGCTGAGGTCTTCATCCATGCAGCAGTGTACTGTACATGCATATGCGTGCCTGCGTGCGTGTATGTGCGTATACTTGTTGTGCACGTATATATTTAGATCAGCACCCATTCGTGTCTTTGTATATGCGGAACGCAGTCGCAATGGCGAATTGGTTTAGATATTTACGGTGGCATGGGTATAAGGTGGTTTGATTGTCGATGGGGGTGGGGGGGTGATGTTTTGTGGGTGTCGGGATATAAGAAACGCGCTTCCAATTGTCCCTTTCAAAGGCAAAGATACCCCGTATAGCCTGTAATAGACTGTTGGGGCAAGTTCTGTTAGGCCGGCTCCAGCACACGAGGGCGTGGGTGGCCAACACCACGCCCGGCCGCCTTTGTCTCTCCATAGTGGCGATGCTTTAACACCGCACCAGGTACTCACTTGAGATTGAGTCGACCTAAAAGCCTGGGACCTATACACACACCCCATGTATACACCTCTTTAAAATACACATACGTGTACACACCCTATACACATGCACATTATATACACCCCAACAACAGCCACCATTCGGCACTAAGTGGCGGTGACGTCGCCAAAGCGCTTGTGCTAAGATAGGTTCACATTGATGCCATCACACGAAGTGTCGAAGGCCCGCTGGCAGGAAGCTACTGGACAGACCCATGTGCTACGGGTTGACTGACTGAGATGACTGGCAGATGCACCACCTGTACTCCCCACTGTGGCAAGTTGCTGCGTTTTAGCCGCCCGACGCTCTGCTCGTTGTTGTGAGCACCGTCCATAGGCCTTTGCGTTGCTGCTGAAGGAAGATTGCCTCCAACTGCGCCATCAGCGTCCTTCGAAAGTCCAATCCACTGTGGCCGATTTTGACATCGATGGGTACCAGCCATCGGAGAGTCCAATCAGCCCCAAATCCTTTGGTACCACATCAGCACCATTCGTCTACAGCCAATATCACGCCGACATAGCACCCCGCTATTCGTCCAAACAGAAACTGTTCGACCGTGCGTTGGCTGGGCATGCGAGCTACATGAACCAGCCCACTCATCCTCGCCTGCTGGAGGAATTCACTCGTGGTACTGTATCAATATCTTGCAAGCATCTGTGAGCTCCCTCACGCAGTCCGGCCTGGTTAAACCCCGACTACATCATGCCGGTGCAGGTGTACTTGTAAAGAGGCCCGCATTGCACAAGCATAGACAAGAGAAGGCCAGGAGCTGCGTGCGGAGCGATATTCCAAGGAACTTTCACTGAGCATTGTGGAGCTGATGAACATGTGTATAGCAATCAGCTGATTTGGAGTGAGACTTCTGCAACGAAATTGGAGCTGCCCACGATAATTATTGTTCAGGTACGAGAACTCCTCCACCTTATCCACAACTACCCCATGGCCTCATCGAGATTTGAGTGGATGGAGGGATCGATGATTCAACGTGCCAGGCTGGTGTTTGCTTTTTTTGTGGTGCTGATTATAAAAGGCTCTATAAGGCGAGCTCCACGTTCAACAGCACATTCTGTAACTACTTCTCAAAAATCAGAAACAATTTGCAGATCATCATCGTACGTACAATGATGGCTAGGCAGTGTGGAACTATTCTCCGACCGCACCCAGGTATTGATCAGTCTTCAACTGATCTGTAATAGATGGAGATACCACTGGAACACCCGTGAAAGTGTTTATGAGCCGCAGAACATCCCGGTGACACCTCAACGTGAACAGCGAATGGCTTTGATTCCCATTTCGGTAGTTTTAACTCAGGCCTGCCCACCATCAGGAAGGACATTACTAATCACGTGGCGCCACGGTGGCCAGATGTTAACTCCGTCGCCTGGTATGTAGGAGGTCGTGGCTTCGATCCCGACTCTGATGCCTGCTGTATATTTGTAGTTTACATGCTGTCCCTGTCGCTGCAACAATTTTTCTCCGGGTCCTCCGGATTTCCCTTGCACGTTTAGAAACACGCGTTTGGAGTATTTGTCTGCTATACATTTCCACGTGATAAGCCACTTCGTTGAGCTATCATTTGTGATAGCCAGGTCGCTTCTGAAAAATAGCTATATCGCTCAGTGGGCCTTACCTTGTTAAATAAAAATAAAACATTTAGTTTTAATCATGGGCGGAGAGTCAGGGATTCGGCTCTCCTCCTCTGCCAAACATTCTTATATCCATTCATCCATCTATTCATTCGTTAATTCCACGTGGGTAGCCTTACCAACTGCTTGTCATTTTTCGGAGGCTCGCAAAGGTGAGTTTCAGACCCTGGTCCTGCCAAAATGAGCTTTGGCCACTGGACGTCATAGACACCCATCCCCAAGGCGCCGGCCTCCAACAACAGGCGCATCGTATGTTCTGTTACACGGTTGTCTGGTAATTAGTTTACGGGTGGAAGGGGTTACCTGGCCATCACACTCATTCAGAAGCAGTGCTGGATTATCCTAGGAGTAAAAGTAGCTACACATGCTACGGGCCCCGCACTTTCAAGGGCCCCGCGCTAAATGCTTTCAAGTTATCAATTCCGGTTCAGTAATTCTGCACTTGCTCGATTACTATAGTACTATGCTGCCTTCAACTTTTATGAACGACTGGGTGTTTAAGGTTAGAGATGTGTCGTATTATCTGGCTGTATAGCAAATGAACAAAATACAATGACCTTACTATGCAAGTAAAACATGTGTGTTTTAATATTCACGTTTTTTTTTATTTAGGGCCCCTTTATAGCATATGCTACAGGCCCCGCACGAGCTTAATCCGGCACTCGTTCAGAAGCCCACCCCTTTGGCCACTGTAGCGATTGTAGCATCATCACCTGCATGGATTGGACCTGCCAAGCTCTTTAGCCAACTAACTTGTGCCAGCCTTGTCTGCCGGTGACCATGGCCACCGTGACCTCAGCAATGCTGCTGTCTGGCACTACGAGAAGCTGGTGGTTGTTTTGCCAAAATGTACACGGAAGACACGGGCATGCACACACCCTCCCACACGTAAGGACATATGTTTGTTCTTACACACACACTCGCACAATGTCTGTCTCTTATACATATACATCGACGATCCCCCTTATAGCCTTAACAGAGTGTAGGAGCAAGTGCTGTTAGCGAGCACCTATTGAAGGCCGACACGGCACACGACGCGGGATGGGTGGTCAGCACCACGCCCCGCCGCCTTTGTATCTCCAGTGGCGATGTTTACACACCGCACCAGGTACTCATTTGAGTCTGAGTCGACCTCACAATAGTTAAACAACGACATCCACATGCATATATACAACATTGCATAGTCACACAATATCTGTCTTGCACACATACATAAACATACACCCATCCACACAAGATTGGATACACGATAGTATTTGCACAATATTGCAGGTAATGTGGGTATTCATAAACTCATGCATGCAATATTGCAGGCACATGCATACACATACACACAGAAGATTAAGATGCCAGTGTACACGCTTACATACGTTCACACATTCACAATCGGAGACGTTCACACATTCACACAACGATTGCCCACACACATTTAAATACACAAGACAAAGATCCCCTGTATAGCCTTAACAGACTGTAAGGGGCAAGTGCTGGTAGCGAGCACCTATGAAGGACGGCACGGCACACGAGGGGGGTGGGTGGCCAGCACCACGCCCGGCCGCCTTTGTCTCCCTAGTGGCGATGTTTACACAATGTACTCATGTTAGGCCGAGTCGACCTAGGGGAGGCCCAGGACCGGTTTAGATAATCGTCACCGGTGTTGGCCGCGAGCGGGAATCGAACTCGGGACGCCAGGTTCGTAGCGCAGCGCGTTAACCGCTACACACACGCACACACTCACATACACCGACACATACAGCCACCATTGCCACACACGCACCGACACACTCGCACAGACACACGGGCGCACACAGACATCATAGTCACATACGCACCGACGCACGCGCACAGACACACACGCATCCACAGACATCGCAGTCACATACATACGTACCGACATACACGCACCGACACGCTCACGCACAGACACACACACACAGCTCAATGCGACCATCAGCCTCAGTCGCTCACGAATATATCCGCCGGTGTCACACACACACACACCGCATGCCCAATGCAACACATCCACACGCCGGCGGCTGCATTTTCTCGCTCTATTAATAGCATAACATCATCATCATTGTGACGATCATCATCATCGTGACGCAATAGCAAACCGTGGTAAATAACAAGAGCGATAGCATTCACATAGCGCGCACTACAGCGATCACCATCAGCCCAGGTCTGCAATGGCGACTCCACGGCGAGCTACCTTGGACAGCAGCAGCAGCAGGAGGAGGAAGATCTGAAGGTTGGTTTCTCATGGCTATTGTTGTTGTTAAGCGGAGTCACTCAACTGCCCGTAGCTCGAACGAGAAAATCCATCATCATCATCATCGCTGCAGCTCATAGTGCCGGCTTGACGTGCATTGTATTGTGTTCGCAATGAAACACGAAACAAAGACAAAGATCACCTGTATAGTCTTGCCAGACTGTGGGGGCAAGTGCTGTTAGCGAGCACCTATGAACATCGGAATGGCACGCGAGGGGGTGGGTGGCCATCACGACGCTCGGCCGCCTTTGTCTCCCTGGTGGCGATGCTTGCACACCGCACCAGGTACTCATTTGAGGCTGAGTCGACCTAGGGGAGACCCAGGACCGCTTCGCATAATCGTCACTGACGCTGACCGTGAGCGGGAATCGAATCCGGCGTGGCCGGGTTCATAGCGCAGCGCGCTAACTGCTACACTACCGCTCCCCACTGGCAATGGAACACACACACGGACACACACGGACACACATACACACAGAGACATCGCTACGACTGCTACGAGCGGTCAATGACCCGATAACGGAACTATTAGAATATCGCGGTTTCGCACAATGTCATAATTAATTAATGAGTAACGTAAAATATAAATAAATGGGGGGGGGGGGGGGGGGGGCCGGGTTATATAGTATTGTATAATGTTCGTAAATAGCAGGCTTTATTTTTTGTCTGTGGTTTACATACAAAAACAATTGCATCGGATCGTTCTATAATACCTACATTTGTCTTGTATTCCCGTTATATGGGAAGCGGCAGTGTCGTGGTTAGCGCACTGCGCTAGGAACCTGGCCACACGAGTTTGATTTGAACTGAGCCTGGGCCACCCCAATGTCGACTCAGCCTTTATTGAGTTACCTGATACGGTTTGTAAACGCCGGGGAGACAAAGGCGGCCGAGCGTGGCGTTGGCCACTCACCTCGTATACCGTGCCGGCCTTCGTAGGTGCTCGCTAACAGCACTTGCCCCAACAGTATATTAAAGGCTACACGGGGGATATGTGTCGCTACACATACACACACATGCGTATTTCTTGTAACATCCACATTGTGTATTCATGTTATGTGGGATTCGTAAATTATATCGCATTTCTCTACGTTACGATTCTGTCATACAATAGGCTATGCATTCATGGCCTCTATACATTGTTTATGCCGCATTTATCACATCCTTTTATTTTGAATAATATATGTTTGTTAAAACATCGTTGATTTGAATTATATCCGTTTTCAAGTAGTTGAGTAAAAAATTGTGGATGTGAATTTTTTTCACAAAACGTTTGTATGTTTAATCGTGATGGGCAGTCGTGCTATAATGCGGCATATGTACGATAATATGTTAGAAGCAGAAGTATATCTGCGGCGCGATTTCTAAACTGAAGGCATGATGATTAGTCATTCATGTGATTTGTAAATACATAATGCTGTGAATGGTTTAAATGCACGCAGAACATAGTGTGTGTGTTGTACGTATATCAAATACATTGCACGTGATCGTGAGTGAGTGACTGATGTAAAATTCGAGTGATGGTCTAGAAGGGCTCTGAAGCTGAGACTTTTGTGCAAAGCTAATCCGAAGCCAACCCTTTCTAACCGGACGAATATATAGAGACCGAAATTTTCCGATTTTTTTTTTTACATCCCATAACAGTTATACAGCTGCTACTGCGAGTCTCACGATAAACGTTTATAAATATATATAAAAACGAATAATGTGGTGATGATGATGCTGCTTTGCTGCTGCTACGTTGGTAACGGTGCATCAAAGCAGAATTACCAGAACCGCACCGAAACCATTAAGGACGCTGCGTGGCCCTTAGTGTAACGAACATATACGGTGCATAATAATACGCAACGTTTCGGGACATGGTCCTCTTTCGGAGCACATTGCATGTCTACATTTAAGCAACCTTGCGGGTAAAGGTCCTTCTTCATGTGCTCACCAAGTAATTCGCCTCCCGTGGAGTGTGACGCTGAAGACGATAGAAAGCGACCAAATCTCGTTTGCGAGCAATAATAACGTATCAAAATAATGAGTTTTATAATTATTATAATTTGACGTGCCTATATTTGTACATTTCCCCGCGACTAAATTCTATGATCATCATTATTTCAAATACTAAATATTACTATAGTACCTACGCATAATCAGATCTTAAATTCCCGCTGAATATCGTACGTGTCGCTAGCCGGTGGCTCGCTGCTCTACGCAACAACAACAACAACAAAAAACCTACCCGAGTTAGAATCCCGCTCACGGATAATATCACGTCTCCCATACTTCACCACACTGATCAGCGTGGTGAAGTATGGTCAAACAACTCCCATGTGACCTGGGGGAGGCCTTCATTCAGCAGTAGATTCACAGAGGGCTAACATTTATCATAATAATTATAGTCATTACTAGCAATCTGTACGTCCATTGGACGCGTTCGTCCGTCCAATTCTTCTCTCCAGCCAGCAAAACTTATATTTTTTTTTAATACAGTACGATGGATGCATTTTGGTGGTGATGGGAGTTGTAATTATACACGTCTTGTACATTTGGCATGATACACACATTGACACGTGCCGAGTTTTTCTCACGAGTGGGAGCCTCGTTGCTGCCACGTGTAATTCCAATCGAGTAATTTTGCAGGTAACTGCTATTTCTCCTTCTCACCATTGGGAACCTTTCGGCTCAATGCGAGGTCACGTTGTGGACGCTTCATTCGCTCCCGGAATGAAAGCGCGGAGAACTCGGGACTAGACTACCCCCCCCCCCCATGCAGAACAGGGAGAGAGAACACACACACTGCGCACACAACGCCCCCCCCCCCACACCCCCAGAGTCGGGAATCGAACCCAGGATATTCCTGCTGCGTGGCACACGTGCTACGAGCCGAGTCCGCCTTGCTGCTCGTGGTGACTGCGATGTCGTCGCTGCTGCTGCTGCTGCTGACGATGTAAATGACATAGACGAGCTGTGGTGTATCACACGCTGCAGTCGAGGGTGTTGTGTACATCGCCTGTGTGGTGGTAGCCCCACAGTGCTTGCGTGCTACTCATGTGCGGTGAGGTGGCTGAGTGGTGGAGCAATCGCCTCTCATTCAGAAGTGTGCGAGTTCAAGCCCTGGTTAGGGATTTTTTCATCCCCCCCCCCCGGGCCCCGAAAAAGCGATTAACCACTTTGTGGGGGAAGTCAACGGTGGATGTCATCGCCCCCGACCATAGGAATGTGGAATTTCCACCGCTGGTTCAGGGCTGTAAACGGGAAATGAACACCAGTACCCCAGTGCTGATTTGAGCAGCAGGGCATCACTCGTAATTATCCTGCTCGTTTCCGGCTGTGTGTGAGCGTACGTTTGGCCTTTGACAAGCGCCAGTGGGACACGTATGAGTACATTAATTAACATATAAAAACATAATTGCATAGTCACCTAAGTAACATCATCGTCAGCCGTGGTCTACCCACTGCTGGATGACGGCTCCCCCACCCCGTATCCATCCCCCGCGGTCTTGCGATCTTCATCCTGCGCACGGAGGTGATCTCAGTCGCCGGTAGTCATTCTCTTCGGGCGCGTTCCCTCCTTTGACTGCCATTCACCCACCAGTCTCCACCGTCGACCACTATCATCATGGTGATAATCATGATGATATTTATCATCATGATTATCATCATCATGATGATGATAGTGGTCATCCCTTCTAGGCATGGCGGGACGCTTTTATATATATAAACAGTCATTAGGATGTCTCTGAGTTGCGATTGTTTTGCCACATACAATTTGAACTAAACGAAACTATTTTTTTTTTACCACGTAAGGCCCACTGAGCTACGTAGCTCTTTTTCAGAAGCGACCTGGCCACAAACGATAGCTCAACAAAGTGGTTTATCGCGTGGAAATGTATCGCAGCCAATACTCTAAACGTGACGTTGATTCTAAATGTGGAGGGAAAAACCGGAGGACCCGGTAGAAAAATCCACGCGACCACGAGGAGAGAGACACGCAAATATACAGCAGGCGTTAGGATCGGGATCGAACTCGTGGACTCCTGTATACCAGGCGAGGTAGTTAACATTTCGCCACGAAGGCGCTGTTTGAGATTGTAAAAGTTAATTTCGTAGAGAATAAAATATAGCAATTTTAAGTTTAATTATAATTGAGAAGACTTGTGGTAAAAAGTTTATAAATATTTTATTTTAGCGAAGACGTTTGCATTACATATTAATGCTTATACGTAAGTACAGTATTTTTCTTTAATACATACAATACATAATTATTCTGATTACAACCCCATGTGAATCCACTGCTGGACGAAGGATTTCCCACGCTGTGTCGGTAGGTTTACCACACTTCACCACGTTTATCAGTGTGGGTTGATTAAAAGATGGACAGGACTCGCCACTGATGTTAGCCGTGACCTGGAATCAAACTGAAGAGGGCAGCTTGATGTAGCGCCGTGTTCTAACTGTGCCAGCACTTCACCCTACAATGCGTATGCTTTATAAGACCTGTTTTTCTTTTGAACTTCTTTCGCACCGTACGTAGCCAACCGTGCTGATTGTATGCGTCATATGTTTGAGCAAAATATACACAATACAGGTCGCTGCTCTATATATTTCTGTATATATGTTTTAAACACACACACACCACAAAGTGCAATATACACAGTAAGTATACGCACTGAGTCTCGAGACTGTTCCAGGAGTAGGGTTGTTGCCGTATTGAGATATTTGGCCATCTGGAAATCTGTGAAAAAGAGCTTTACAGCTCATCGGATTCCTCCAGTACAAATACACATTCCATTCTATTATTGCGCATGACGGCGGCGATGTGTTCGTGAGTTAACTGCCAATGTCGAGGTCTGATGCTGGGAGGGCATCAGCAGCAGAGAGAGAGAGAGAGAGTTCGTGTCGTGTCGCTGTTCCTCCTTCTCCGTTGAAGGAGCGCAGACCAAGAGTGATTTGCAACATGGTCAACAGTGTGCGTTGCGTGCCCACAATCGCACACTACTGTGGCTTGTGTCTTAAATTGACCATCTACGAAGGAAGGGTGCGCAGACGGTCAAAACAATACGCATATGTACGTTTGTATTCCGAACTTTAATCTTGACTTAAAGCTTTCGTGACTGCAGGAATTCCCATTCTTGTGGGTCTTTCGGTAAAGTCACGTAGATAGGTTCCAATTAATAAAACAATAATCTTGATTTGAAGCTTTCGTGACTGCAGGAATTAATCTTTGGTTCTTTCGGTAAAGTCACGAAAGATCCAAAGAGTAATACAAATATAATAAACAAAAAACTACGACGTTTCGATCACAACGCAAGCGATCGTCATCAGGAAGAAAAAAAGAGCAGCTTCCCCCCCCCCCTCTGTTTTCCTCCTGATGACGATCGCTTCTGTTGTGATCGAAACGTCGTTGTTTTTTGTTTATTTTTTTTATTAATTTGAACCTATCTATGTGACTTTACCGAAAGACCCAAAGAATATTCTGAACTACTTTCGCGCTGCACGTAGCCTTACCGTGCTAACCGGAGGTGCTTGTTGCAGGCACATGTCCTGCGATGACATAGCACACCACAAGTTATCTGCTGCTGATGCTGGGTTGCCAGTGGTGCAAGAGCACAATTAACAACAACAGCAACAAGTCAACACGTGTGTCAATAATAACACTGCCTTAAAATACAAAAAAACATATATAAAAGGCGACGGTTTCGGGCAATGACCCTCCTGTGCTGTGAAGAAGGGCCATTTCCCGAAACGTCGCCTGTTATCTAATTTTAGTTTAAGGCCACAATTGGTGGTTAGTTACGTAGTCAAGTAGGTAGGTAAACTCATGAGATAGGTAGTAAGGTGAGTAGGTAGGCTGGACAATGGTGAATAGGTAGACAGACAGGTTCATAAATGTGCAATGACAGGAACAGCAGTTGCACCCAGAACTCACAAACCACGGCGGAGAGCGAGTGTCTGGGTGTGTGTGGTGGTGGTGGTGGTGGTGGCAGCCACGTCGCCCTCCAGCAACAACGGAGGGCAGACGAGCGACGCTCACAACAACGAGCGGAGCGCCGGGTGGCTAAAGAACAGCAAGTTGGCACAGTAGGGGGCAGAGGTGGTGCATCAGCCAGTCGTCTCAGGCAGGCAACCCATGGCGCCTGGGTCAGTCCCGTGACCTCCTGCCAGCGGACGTTTGACACTTCACGTGGCCTTAACGTGCACGTAGCCTGGCACAAGCGCCGTGGTGGCGATCGTTGGCTGTTGTTCGTAGCCACGTGGTGGCCACGCTGCTGCACAGGTGCGTAAATCCATCGCCGTGGAGGCAGCAGCGAGGGTTGATGGATCACACACAGATGTGGGCGAAACTCCCCTTCCCGTGGGGGTCGAGGAGATGCCATGCCCTCGTCTCGCAAGGGTACAGCAAGAGTGGACTCGTGGTCATCTGTTTCCATCTGTACGTGGACGGAGCGTTGCTGCCGCCCTCGCTCGTGCGGGCGAGTTTGCTCCGGGTACTCCGGTTGCCTTCCACTCATTGATTGGCTGAATGCATCGTAAAGTAAAACCCAATACCGCAAGACGCTCCTGGTGAAGAGTCGCACCGACTCAGTGTGGCTTTCCCGGATGAATGGGAAAGAAAAATAATCAACTCAAACTAGACTGTGAAACGGTGAGAACGGACCTTTCTGGTAGGGGCGTCGAACTGCGAGTTGTAGCTCTCAAGGGGCTGCTGATCCTACCACGTGTTGTCCGGCATGATGATGATAACGATGACGACGAATACACGCCCAGCACGTGCGACGAAACGTCGGACATCGCGCCTAGCAACAACAACAACCGGTACAACAAGCGGTAAGCAACCCGAGGACACATCGCAGAGCGGTACATCACACCCGGTAGCAGACCTGCGGGATCTGGCAGAAGGAAGAACGCGATGGGGCGGCGTGATAATTTATCAGCACATTGGCTGTTGCATAACCTCTTGAACCCCAAGACTTTGGCAACACGGATAGCGACCGGTGAGCCGCTCAGCCGCGCGCACGCATTTAACATAAGTACGCACTGCACTCACACAATCACAATTAGACGTGTGCGTGCGTGCCATGTTATATTTGATTATTGTCATCACTCACACTTCGGTGCGCATAACAGACTCTGCGTAATTAAAAAAAACCAAACCGCCTAGCCCAGTGCATCAAGTGAGCCTCGCTTGCCATTGAGCACACACCCCCTTACGTGTGTGTGTAGCAGCGTGTATGCATGCGACGCACGTGGCCTACCTGTGATCCAGCATTGTGGGGACGGCAGCGAGGGTTTGTGGATCACCTGTAAATACCCTGGGGTGTCAGGAGAGGGCGATACAGTACGTGGGCTAATTGCCATCTGTTTCCATCTTTACGGGGATCGAGCGTTGCCCCCTCGCTCGTACACGTGAGTTTTCTACGGGTGCTCTCGTTTCCTTCCCACTCGTATAATAATATAACACAACTCATCCTTAATTGGCTGAAAGCATCTTCAAGTAAAAACCCAACGTGGCTGCAGGACCCTCCTGATAAAGAGTCCTGCGACTCAATGCGGCTATCGTGGATAAATAATAATAATAATAATCAGTCAAGTAACGCTCACCTGAAATTGACTGCTTCGAATATATTGGCGTAATTTTTTTTCTCTCTCTCCGCGGTGGCGAGATGTGAATTACCTCGCTTAGTATGCGGTGGGAGGTCGTGAGTTCGATCCCGACCCTGACGCCTGGATATTTAGAGTTTGCGTGTCTCTCTGCCTGTGGTTGCAAGGGTTTTTCTCCGGGTCCTCCGGGTTTTTGCCTCTACGTTTAGAAACACGCGTTTAGAGTGTATGGCTGCTATACATTCCCACGTGGTGAGCCATTTGGCTGAGCTATCATTTTGTGGCCAGGTCGCTTCTGCAAAAGAGTTACATAGCTCAGCGGGCCTTACCTGGTAACATAAAAAATATAGTTTTAGTTGAATAAGCACGCAAATGGTAACGTGGACACTGAACAGCCCTTGGTGTATCCACAGCCGGACGAAGGCCTCCCCACGCTGAGCGGATCTTGGCCGATATTTGACTCCCCCCAATTCACCACGCTGGTTCCTTAGCGCAGGTGCTTATAATGTGAATACTTACGATTTGTAGCGAATTATCTTGTGCACTTCAACCTAATGTTGAATAGAGGCGAGTCTCAAATATGCCTTACGTATACAAATGTGTGCTGAAATTATTGTTTTTTGTTGACATTCAACCAACAGTCCGCATGTCCCTTTGGGCATCATCGTCTGACCGGACGTCACATGTCCTGTCAGCCAGTAAGCCAGCAAAACTTCAACAACAAAAAATCGTAAGAAATATTCTTACTTTTTAATTATTATTCTTTTCACCAAACTTAATGGAACATTTACGCATTTTTTTGTTATATATAAAAATGGGACGTTGAAGTAGATACCACAGAATAGCATCTGAAGTGACTGAATGCGAAGATCCGAGGTCTCTCTTTATCCACACCAGCAAACAAACAATAAACGCATCACATTCGCCAATAGCCTATTCACGGCATGTGCTATGAAGGGTCACTGCCTGCAACGTTGCCTATTATATACATGCACAATAGTATCTCAATTAATGTCTCTTCCGTCGTTTCGCAAATACGTCGTCACTTTATTGTTAACACCGCTACAGTACCTCATTTGAACATCACATTTCCCTTCAAGGCCGCACTGTTGTTCATGAATGTGTGGAGTTTGTCGTTGTTGTTGTTGTTGACAGTACTTGTGCACCACTGCCAGCGTAGCAACAGCAGCACCACCAAATAATGTTTTTTTAAAATAATCCGCACTAGGGGGCGATGTACTTTCCCAGCAGTCCATTATAACTTGAAAATACATTTTGCAACGATTGCAAGAGACACCAAAAAAACGTAAACAATGATGGGCTGAGTCCATCAACTCACGACACTTGAGAAGCCGGTCCAATCGCGGGCTCCTGAAACTTGGAATCGAACCCTGGCTCACAATCGTGACTCTGCCCTCGAAGCCGACGGCGTGAGATGTAGTTCTGAGCACGTTACATGAGTGCGGCGTGTTTATAGATTTTATAATAATAATTTAAAAAACCATACATGTAAAGCGGTGTTCTTCTTTGCAAGGCCCGAGGGCCACGGGCGGTCCTCGATGGCGCTGTTAGTGCGGCCCCTGACGAGCGGTCTCCGACAATACACAAAGAGGTTAAGTCAGTTCAACACGGAGGCTTGCGCGGCCAGAAGCGTGGTCACCACATCTACGCCTCTATATAAGAAACGAAACAGTTAGACTTCTCCACAAATATGGCCGTCGCCCGATGAAGCTAGTTGTAATTACTGGCGAAACGTCGTACTCAGATTGTAAATATTGTGGCCTGGCTCTCCATCGCACCGATGTTGCTGTACTAGTGACTAATTGGCCACGTTCTGTTTACGTGACGACCCTTACTCGTTGGCTGTGTCGGGTGGTGGCGGGTTTTAACGACACATTTATATATTTACGCGATCTAACCCCAAAACAACTCTATTATGAATACACAAAGAGTGACAACACCCACCACCACCACCACCACGATGATCGTGGTAGCTGTTAAACCCCCAATGGTTTCATATGGTGTGGCGGCCCTCAGGCTGATGATGTCTTATCGGCGAAAGTAGCCCCCCCACATCACCGCCCTTCTGAAAAGTAGTGAATGACACTGATGTAAAGCATCTGGGAATGGTGGGGCAGTGGTAAGCGCAACTGTGCCCAGAAACCCTGGACACCGAGTTCGATTCCCGGCCACGGCTAAAGTCGGAGTTGAGTGATTATACATTTATAGAGTGAGGGAAAAAAAGCATTTGATCCCCTGCTGATTTTGTACGTTTGCCCACTGACAAAGAAATGATCGGTCTATAATGTTAATGGTAGGTTTATTTGAACAGTGAGAGAGAATAACAACAACAAAATCCAGAAAAACGCGTGTCAAAAATGTTATAAATTGATTTGCTGCAGGATTTCAGTCCTTCACTGTATCTGAACCGCTCCTGTCCCCTGCCATGCCGACCAGCGTGGTGAAGTATAGCAAACCCCCCCCCCCCCCCCCCCCACCTTGACCGACGGGGGAAAGCCCATTATCCAGCAGCGGATTGACTTCGGGGATGATGATCTTAATGCTAATGATTATTATTGCAGTACGGGCATTAATTATGATAACGCAGTGCTTAATTGACAAGGGGGCTGTATATAAAGTCATTTGCATAGCGTTAACTAATTATGCTGTAAGACAAATATCAAACGAGCATAGGGGTGGGAGGCACTCATATCCTGCTCACCCGCTCTGGGTTATTGGTGGAAATTCCACATTCGTATGGCGGGAATTATGATATCCGCGGGAAAACCGCGATTCAAAACTGTAAAAAAGAACTTTTTTTTGCAATTTTTACCAGGTAAGGCCCACTGAGCTACGTAGCTCTTTTATAGAAGCGACCAGCCATCACAAATGATAGCTCAACGAAGTGGCTTATCATCATGGCGTGGAAATGAAACTTTACACAGCGTGGTACTAACTTTGCCGACCATGGAATCGAGCGCCGTTCGCAGCACTGACCAGCGTGGTGAAGTATGGTCACGTAAACCCCATGACCTACACGGAGTTGGGAGTCCTTCATCCAGCAGTGGATTGACAGAAGGGTCTAAGTTATTATCATCATCATTAAATTAGGTGCGTGCATACAATTATAGAAAACTGCCTTCAATCGCTAAATTTTATACTGTATGTGAGGACTGTTTTTCTACAAACCACGCATGCACATTATTTAGACATCCTCATATGCATGCTTACAAGTTTGATCATGATGACTGCTACTGTCGCTGCTGATGATAAGTGCTGCTGATGATGGCGATTAATATGTGACTGATGATGACGTTGCTGCTGCTGATGATGATGACGAAACTAAATCCAACACCTCTTTATGATGATGAGCGTTCGTGCTGCAGATTTATTTGGATGTCACGCAGAGCAGTATAACCCGTCGTGTTGGAGAATCGTCCACGGAAGCGGACACCACAGAGCCACCTCTGAGATCCCTTCAAGCGACAAAAAAAACGTGTTAAATCAGGCAAAACTCTGGAGGGTTTAAACTTTATAAGTCTCATCAGATGGGCATGGCCATTTGGGTCGTTGAACAATACCAACAACACCGCACAATTAGTCTTCACGCAGCCGGCTCTCATCATCATCATCAGCCATGGTCAATCCACTGCTGGATGAATGCCACGCGAAGCCGCCGCCGCCTCTTCTCGCAATCCTGCCCACGGCCGTGCTCTCGGGACGCGTTCCACTCGTTGACTGTCGCACCCTTGTGAATCTCGACCCATCGGCCCGCGTCTTCTTCATCAGGCTGCGACGCGTTCTGCCCAATGCCATTTATGTTTGCTAACAGTTTTAATTTATATTTGTAATTTTCTTCATTACAAACTTCTACACCTGGATAATCCCCTTGAGATGGGACAGCTCGCTTGTGTGGCTGTCCATTAACGAGGACAAAGATCCCCCGTGTAGCCTTGACAGACTGTTGGGGCAAGTGCTGTTAGCGAGCACCTGTGTGGGGAACGGTAGAACAACGGTGAGCGCGCTGCCCTACGAACCTGGCCACACGAGTTCGATTTTAACTGAGTCTGGACCACCCCCATGTCGACTCAGCCTTTAATGAGTTACCCGATACGGTTTGTAAACACGGGGGAGACAAAGGCGGCCGAGTGTGGCGTTGGTTACTCACCCTCTCGTGTGCCGTACCAGCCTTCGTAGGTGTTCGCTAACAGCACTTGCCCCAACAGTATATCAAAGGCTACACGGGGGATATTTGTCTTTATACATACATAACACACATGCGTAACGCTTGTGAATTCCATATTGTGTATTCATGTTATGTGTGATTCGTAAATTATACCACATTTCTCAGTGTTATGATTCTGTCATACTATAGAGTATACATTCATGGCCTTGATACATTGTATATGCTATATCTATCACGTCCTTTTATTTTTAATGTTTTAAAATACATCGTTAATTCTAATTATATCCGTTTTCGGTTCCTGCTCATGGCCAACACCAGTGACGATTATCTGAACCGGTCCTGGGCCTTCCCTAGGTCGACTCAGCCTCAAATGAGTGGTGCAAAGTTATAACATCGCCACCAGGGAGACAAAGGCGGCCGGGCGTGGCGCTGGTCAGCCGTGCCGGCCTTCGTAGGTGCTCGCTCACAGCACGTGCCCCAAACAGTCTGTGAAAGGCTACACCGGGGATCTTTATTCAAATCAAATGAGTGCGGTGTGTAAACATCGCCCACGGAGAGACAAATGCGGTCGGGCGTAGTGCTGGCCACCCCACCCCCTCGTGTACCGTGCCCGGTTTCATAGGTGTCAATGAACACGTGCACACGCAATTACCACGTGCACACGCAATGAACACGTGCACACGCAATAACCACGTGCACACGCAATGACCACGTGCACACGCAATGACCACGTGCACACGCAATGAACACGTGCACACGCAATGACATTAACCTGCTTGTGTCCCATCTCCGTGCATCGTTTGGCCTTCTCGCCTTGTTAAATACGCGATATCGCTTGATGGAAAAATCCCACAAATTACACGGCAGACAGCGAGTAGAGCGATCCCCGTCAATCATTGATTCAGATAGCAGTGTGGCCGCGATATCGTTTTCCACGATATGACTAAACACTGAACATAAAAAAAAATTGTACCTCTTTTTAATAAGCGACCTGGCCACAAATGATAGCTCAACGAAGTGGCGTATGGAAATGTATAGCAGCCAAATACTCGAAACGCATTTTCTAGACATGTGGAGAGATAGGCACGCAAACTCCAAACGTACAGGCGTCAGTGTTGGTATCGAACCCACGACCTCCTGCATACCAGGGGAGGTAGTTAACATCTCGCTATCGCGACGCCCCGTACGTTATCTAAACTCGATGTACGATATCGAAATTCGATATACCGATATCGTGATGATCGTCATATCGTGAAATTCGATATACAATATCGGTGTTCGATAACGTCGTAATTATATTTCAACTGTCAATGAAGATGTTGTTGCTGTGCTTTGTAAAAACAAAAAATATTCTTCAACTGCAGTCGACTCAACATAAGCCTGCCGCGAGACTATCTATCTATAACGCGTACATGCCGTCAAAATGTAATTGCCATGCCATCAATTATTTAGCGAGACAAACATATTAACATCGTACCGGGAAACAGCTGATTATTTACTACTTTCATCGCTGAGTATGCGACTTCATGGATGTGTTGTCAGTA